CACTACTACTACTACCACCACTACCACCACTACCACTACTACTACCACTACTACTACACTACTACTACACTACTACTACTACCACCACTACCACCACTACCACTACTACTACCACTACTACTACACTACTACTACACTACTACTACTACCACCACTACCACCACTACCACTACTACTACCACTACTACTACACTACTACTACCACTACTACTACTACACTACTGCTACTACCACCACTACCACTACCACCACTACTACTACACTACTACTACTACCACTACACTACTACTACTACCACTACACTACTACTACACTAAGTAATAGGTTTTACCCTTTTAACTGGCACAAAAACTGACACCTTTATTCAAGGCATCGTGTTTGCAATAACCACAACACAAGCAGTCAAAATGCAAACACAAAAAGACAACTCTGATAATAATATTGGCCCTGTCCTTGAATTTGATTGGTCCACACCAGAGACGGCTTTTCTTAGAGCCCTTTAGTCTCCGCTGGTGTTGGACCAGAAGACGCCAAAAGGCGTCACACAACTTTAAAAACAGCGCACTATCAGAGTATTGAGGGCTCGGGGTGAGCATGTACATTATGAGACCTCCTTTGCCAGTAACAAGATATAGGAATAGGTTTTACCCCTTTTAACTGGCACGCAAAAACTGACACCTTTATTCAAGGCATCGTGTTTGCAGTAACCACAACACAAGCAGTCAAAATACAAACAAAAGAGACACAACTCTGATACTAATATTGGCACTGTCCTTGAATTTGATTGGTCCACACCAGAGACAGCTTTTCTTAGAGGCCCTTTAGTCTCTCCATTGGTGTTGGACCAGAAGACGCCAAAAGGCGTACAACTTTAAAAACAGCGCACCATCAGAGTATTGAGGGCTCGGGGTGAGCATTAACATTATAAGACCTCCTTTGCCAGTAACAGGATATCGTGATAGGTTTTACCCCTTTTAACTGGCACACAAAAACTGACACCTTTATTCAAGGCATCGTGTTTGCAATAACCACAACACAACGCAGTCAGAGTTATGAGACCTCTCCTTTGCCAGTAACAGGATACAGGAATAGGTTTTCACCCTTTTAACTGGTAAGGCTTCGGATGACCGCTGGGGATTTCGCGATCAGCGGGTTCCTTGCGGGTGGGAAGGTTTTTCGGCTTGCTACGGTGGGTCTCTGCCGAGCGTAGAGGCAAGGATTGGTGCGGGAGGGGGCGTGGGGTTGGGGTTGGGGGTTGGGGTGGGTTTATTTGGGCAGTGAGAGACAGAACAATATTAATAATAATGATGATGATGCAGGAAAACGCATGTCAAAAAATGGTTATGAATTGATTTGCATTTTAATGAGGGAAATCAGTGTTTGACTCCTCTGCAAAACACTACACGATACACTACACTATACACTACACTACTATACACTATATACTACTATATACTACTACTATATACACTATATACTACTATATACTACACTACTATACACTACACTATACACTAAACTACTATACACTACACTATACACTACACTATACACTACACTACTATACACTACACTGTACACTACACTATACACTACACTACTATACACTACACTACTATACACTACACTACTATACACTACACTACTATACACTACACTACTATACATTACACTATACACTACACTACTATACACTACACTATACACTAAACTACTATACACTACACTATACACTACACTACTATACACTACACTGTACACTACACTATACACTACACTACTATACACTACACTACTATACACTACACTATACACTACACTACTATACACTACACTACTATACACTACACTACTATACACTACACTACTATACACTACACTACTATACACTATATACTACACTATACACTACACTATGATGATGTTGTTGTTGATGTTGTTGTTGTTGATGTCTCTGCGTAGTCTCAGGACGGTGGTGATTTGGGCTGTGAGCCTCCTCCTGAGATGGGAGAGCTTCAAATATCTCCAGGTAACATCATCATTATCATCAACATCAACAACAACATCAACAACATCATCAACAACAATATCAACAACAACATCAACAACAACATCATTATCAACATCATCAACAACAACATCATTATCATCAAAATCAACAACAACAACATCATTATCATCAACAACAGCATCAACAACATCATCAACATCATCAACAACATCAACAAAATCATTATCATCAACAACATCAACATCATCAACAACATCATTATTATCATCAACAACATCAACATCATCAACAACATTATTTTCATTATCATCAACAACATCAACATCATCAACAACATCATTATCATCATTATAATCAGCATCAACATCAACAACATCAACATCATCATCAACATCAGTTACATCCCTGTCTCTCTATCTGTGTGTGTGTCTATCTGTGTGTGTGTCTATCTGTGTGTGTGTTGCCGGACGGGCAACTCTGTCGTGGACAGTGCTGTGGGGGGAGATCCAATTTTGATTGGCTCCTCCCCTCATGGCGTCTGTGTCCACTACAGGGGCTAAACGGGGGCTCTGGACGGGTGCGAGGGGCTGGTAACCCCTCCACCTTCAATTAATTACCACTAAACCACGAGTTAAACTGAAATATGTAACTAATAAGCTTGTGCCGGAGGCCCCGGGGGGCCAGGCGTCTATGACGTCTCCTGGCCAAACCCCAATTGGCGGAGCCAGGAGATTGAATATCTACCCTCGGGGCTCCTCCAGAAACAACGAAAAGCCACTACGGGTGGCCATGTGGAATGTTCGAACGCTCACTGCGGAGGAGAGGCTGCCACTCCTCTGTCGGGAGCTGGACCGGTACCGCCTGGATCTATGCGGCATTCAGGAGGTCCGGTGGACCGGCTCTGGCTCCTGCCACCATGAGGGGTGGACAGTCCTCTACTCGGGGCAGCAGACTGCCAAACAACAGGGTGTGGCTCTTCTTTTGAACAAAAGAATAAAGGGGGCGTGGGAGCGTGGTGGTGAGGTGTGGGAAGCTGTAAGCCCCAGGCTACTTTGGGCTCGCCTTCCCATCAACCGGAGGCGAGGAATGGTGGTCGTGGTTACTTATTCCCCCACCGAAGATGAACATCCGTGGAGGGATGCAGACAAAGCCGATGAGTCAGATGCCTTCTATGACCTCCTGTCACAGGTGCTGGCTAAAGTGACCCCTTGGGATAGAGTCATCATGTTGGGTGACTTCAATGCCCGAGTTGGTAATGATACTGGCACCTGGTCTGGAGTGATTGGAGGGCATGGGCCAGATCAGCTCAATAACAACGGTAGGAGGCTGCTAGATTTTTGTGCAGCCCATGGGCTTGTAATTACCAACACGCTGTTCCGGCATCGGCGCATCCACACAACATCATGGATGCATGCCGGGTCCAAGCAAGAACATCTGCTGGACTACATAGTGACGGACCAGCGGATGCGAGCCCATGTCCTTGACACCAGGACCTACCGTGGAGCTGATCTGCCCTCTGACCATCGACTAGTCATTTGTAAGATGCGCCTGACATTCTTCCACTCCGGTGGTAGGTGTACACCCAGGACCCCATTCCGACCTAAAGTGGCCTGGTCTCAGTTATCTGATGAAAGTTGCAAGCGAGAATTTCATCATCGCTTGCGGCTGGGATTGGCATCGTCCCCGACTCCTCCTGATGTCGAGGGTAAATGGGCGAGGTTTAGGACTGTGACTCATGCAGCTGCAATGGCTGCTTTAGGTACGCGGTCCAGACCTCCCCAGAGACCCTGGCTGACAGAGGAGGTGTTCAGGATGGTTGAGAAAAAGCGACAGGCCCACTGTCATCGGCTACAGAATCCCACGTCAGAGAATGAGGAGGCTTACCGCAGCCTTCGCTCGGAGGTTCGGAGAGCCGTGAGGCGCTGCAAGGATGGGTGGTGATCGCAGGTTGCTGAGGAGATGGAGTCTGCCTCAGTGGCCCGTGATCACAAATCTCTATTTAACTCCATCAAAAAAGTAACCTGCAGCGCCACACCTATTACCATCATTAGGGGAAAAAACGGGGATCCAATCTCCGACCCCCAGGAACAGGTTTGCAGATTTGCTGAGCATTTCTGTGAGGTCCTGGGGGAGGGAAAATCCCTCAGCCAGGAAAACATCGTGGCACAAAGTGAGGATGACCCTGCTGAGGCTGCGGTGCCTCAAATATTGGAAGAAGTCACCCCCTGTGAGTGGCTGGCTGAGGTGCCATCTGTTGAGGAAGTACTGAAGGCAATCTGGAGTCTGAGACCAGGAAAGGCAGCGGGCAGAGATGATCTCCCAAGCGAAATGCTGAGGGAGGGTGGCGTTTGTGCACAGACTGCCCTATATGACATCATAACAACAGTCTGGACCACTGGACGGGTTCCGCAGGATTGGAAGGATGCCCTGGTGGTCCCCCTTTTTAAGAAGGGGGACCGCACAGACTGTAACAACTACAGGGGCATCTCGCTCCTCAGTGTGCCGGGAAAGGTCCTGGCAAGGATTATTCAACATCGCCTTGCCAGGCACGCTGAGGAGAGGCTTGCGGAGCCCCAATGCGGTTTCAGGAAAGGGCGATCCTGCACAGATGCCATATTTTCTGTCCGTCTGCTACAGCAGAGGTGTAGGGAATTCCAACAAGACCTACATCTCTGCTTTATTGACCTGGTCAAGGCCTATGATACCATCAGTAGGCCTGGGCTCTGGGTCGTTCTTCGTGCTTTTGGAGTACCTGACCCTCTGCTCACGATCATTAAGGACCTTCATGATGGTGAGCGGGCCAGGGTAAAACTACGTGGCCGGGAGTCAGAGCCATTCCCTGTACACCTTGGGGTGCGACAGGGATGTCCTCTGGCTCCCACATTATTTAACATCTATTTTGACCACGTAGTTCGTGAAGCCTTCAATAGCTGTACCGGGGGAATCTCCATATGGTACAGATATAATGGGAGGCTGATCGATGCCCGGGTGCGGTCAAGGGATGGCTCCCTATTGCTCAACCACGTTATGTATGCTGATGATTTGGTAATAGCTGCTCAGTCAGAGGAGGAGTTGGAGACGCTGCTGCTGAAACTGGAGCGTGCCACTAAGAGGTGGGGCCTTACCATCAGCCCCACCAAAACTAAGCACCTGCCTGGGTATTTTGTACCATCGGACACTCCACCCCCACAACTCCCAATCGGTGATGGGGCAGTTGTGGAGAGAGTGGAGAGTTTCCCATACCTGGGCAGTGTGCTTATGACTGGCTCCAGTTTAACAGCAGAGGTCTCACTCCGAATCAGTCGAGCGGCAATATCTTTTCATCGGTTGCGTAACGCTGTGTGGAAGCTACCTGGTCTGTCGCTCCGCACTAAGCTTCAGGTCTTCTCGGCCACGGTCATTCCCTCCCTTCTCTACGCTTGCGAAACGTGGACCCCCCTAATGGAACATCTTCGCCGGTTAGAAACATTTAGGCTGGCCTGCCTACGATCCATCCTGGGTTTAACCAGACTGGATTGTGTGAGGAGCTCACAAATCCTTGAAAGATCTGGGCAGGGTCCCATCGGTGAGCTCCTCCGGCGGGCAAGGCTGCGATGGCTGGGTCATGTAGCCCGCATGCCCAGCCACCGCATGCTGAAACAGCTTTTGTTCGGCCGGATTGAGGGGGCTAAGCGGGCGCGGCACGGGCTAGAGAAGAGATGGAGTGATGTGGTACAGGAGGACGTGGAGCTGAGTGGACTTGCCGATGACTGGTACCAGTGGTGTCAAGATCGGCCTCTGTGGAGGAGGCTCGTGAAGGACGCTACTGGGCAGTTGGAGGCAGTCGCCCTCCAACAACAACGGAGGGCGGAGGAGCGACGCTCACAACAACGAGCGGAGCGCCGGGTGGCTAAAGCACAGCAGGTTGGCACAGTAGGGGGCACAGGTGGTGCATCAGCCAGTCATCTCAGTGATCTCAGTCAGTCGATCTGTGGCACCTGCTGGGTCTGCCCCGTGACCTCCTGCCAGCGGGCGTTCGACACTCCACGTGGCCTCAAGGTGCACATAGCCTGGCACAAGCGTCGTGGTGACGTCACCGCCACTTAGTGGCGAATGGCGGTTGTTGTTGTTGTGTCTGTCTGTGTGTGTCTATCTGTGTGTGTGTCTATCTGTGTGTGTGTCTATCTGTGTTTTGTGTGTCTATCTGTGTGTGTGTCTGTGTGTGTGTGTGTCTATCTGTGTGTGTCTATCTGTGTGTCTATCTGTGTCTAGGTGATTGGCTTCGTTGTCTTACTGAGTGGAGCGGTCATCTACAACGGACTTCTGTCTGTGTGTGTCTATCTGTGTGTGTCTATCTGTGTGTGTGTCTCTCTGTGTCTATCTGTGTGTGTCTATCTGTGTGTGTCTATCTGTGTGTGTCTATCTGTGTGTGTCTATCTGTGTGTGTCTATGTGTGTCTATCTGTGTGTGTCTATCTGTGTGTGTGTCTATCTGTGTGTGTCTATCTGTGTGTCTATCTGTGTGTGTCTATCTGTGTGTGTGTCTGTGTCTATCTGTGTGTGTGTCTATCTGTGTCTATGTGTGTGTGTGTCTATCTGTGTGTGTGTCTATCTGTGTGTGTCTATGTGTGTCTATCTGTGTGTGTCTATCTGTGTGTGTGTCTATCTGTGTGTGTCTATCTGTGTGTCTATCTGTGTGTGTCTATCTGTGTGTGTGTGTCTGTGTCTATCTGTGTGTGTGTCTCTGTGTCTATCTGTGTGTGTGTCTATCTGTGTGTCTATCTGTGTGTGTGTCTATCTGTGTGTCTATCTGTGTGTGTCTATGTGTGTCTATCTGTGTGTGTCTATCTGTGTGTGTCTATCTGTGTGTCTATCTGTGTGTGTGTCTATCTGTGTCTATGTGTGTGTGTCTATCTGTGTGTGTCTATCTGTGTGTGTCTATCTGTGTGTGTCTATCTGTGTGTGTCTATCTGTGTGTGTCTATCTGTGTGTCTATCTGTGTGTGTGTCTCTCTGTGTCTATCTGTGTGTGTCTATCTGTGTGTGTCTATCTGTGTGTGTCTATCTGTGTGTGTCTATCTGTGTGTGTCTATGTGTGTCTATCTGTGTGTGTCTATCTGTGTGTGTGTCTATCTGTGTGTGTCTATCTGTGTGTCTATCTGTGTGTGTCTATCTGTGTGTGTGTCTGTGTCTATCTGTGTGTGTGTCTATCTGTGTCTATGTGTGTGTGTGTCTATCTGTGTGTGTGTCTATCTGTGTGTGTCTATGTGTGTCTATCTGTGTGTGTCTATCTGTGTGTGTGTCTATCTGTGTGTGTCTATCTGTGTGTCTATCTGTGTGTGTCTATCTGTGTGTGTGTGTCTGTGTCTATCTGTGTGTGTGTCTCTGTGTCTATCTGTGTGTGTGTCTATCTGTGTGTCTATCTGTGTGTGTGTCTATCTGTGTGTCTATCTGTGTGTGTCTATGTGTGTCTATCTGTGTGTGTCTATCTGTGTGTGTCTATCTGTGTGTCTATCTGTGTGTGTGTCTATCTGTGTCTATGTGTGTGTGTGTCTATCTGTGTGTGTCTATCTGTGTGTGTCTATCTGTGTGTGTCTCTCTGTGTCTATCTGTGTGTGTCTATCTGTGTGTGTCTATCTGTGTGTGTCTATGTGTGTCTATCTGTGTGTGTCTATCTGTGTGTGTCTATCTGTGTGTCTATCTGTGTGTGTCTATCTGTGTGTGTGTGTCTGTGTCTATCTGTGTGTGTCTATCTGTGTCTATGTGTGTGTGTGTCTATCTGTGTGTGTCTATCAGTGTGTGTCTATCTGTGTGTGTGTCTGTGTCTAGGTGATTGGCTTCGTTGTCTTACTGAGTGGAGCGGTCATCTACAACGGACTTCTGTCTGTGTGTCTATCTGTGTGTGTCTATCTGTGTGTGTGTCTATCTGTGTGTGTCTATCTGTGTGTCTATCTGTGTGTGTCTATCTGTGTGTCTATCTGTGTGTGTGTCTATCTGTGTGTGTGTCTATCTGTGTGTGTGTCTATGTGTGTGTCTATCTGCGTGTGTCTATCTGTGTGTGTGTCTATCTGTGTGTCTATCTGTGTCTATCTGTGTGTGTGTCTATCTGTGTGTGTCTATCTGTGTGTGTCTATCTGTGTGTGTGTCTATCTGTGTGTGTCTATCTGTGTCTATCTGTGTGTGTCTATCTGTGTGTCTATCTGTGTGTGTCTATGTGTGTGTGTCTATCTGTGTGTGTGTCTATCTGTGTCTATCTGTGTGTGTCTATCTGTGTGTGTGTCTATCTATCTATGTGTGTGTCTATCTGTGTGTGTCTATCTGTGTGTGTCTATCTGTGTGTGTCTATCTGTGTGTGTGTCTATCTGTGTGTGTGTCTATCTGTGTGTGTGTCTATCTGTGTCTATCTGTGTGTGTCTATCTGTGTGTGTGTCTATCTGTGTGTGTCTATCTGTGTGTGTCTATCTGTGTGTGTCTATCTGTGTGTGTGTCTATCTGTGTGTGTGTCTATCTGTGTGTGTGTCTATCTGTGTCTATCTGTGTGTGTCTATATGTGTGTGTGTCTATCTGTGTGTGTCTATCTGTGTGTGTGTGTGTGTCTATCTGTGTGTGTGTCTATCTGTGTCTATCTGTGTGTGTCTATCTGTGTGTGTCTATCTGTGTGTGTCTATCTGTGTCTATCTGTGTGTGTCTATCTGTGTGTGTGTCTATCTGTGTGTGTCTATCTGTGTGTCTATCTGTGTGTGTCTATCTGTGTGTGTCTATCTGTGTGTCTGTGTGTGTCTATCTGTGTGTGTCTATCTGTGTGTGTGTCTATCTGTGTGTGTATCTGTGTGTGTGTCTGTGTGTGTGTCTCTATCTGTGTGTGTGTCTGTGTGTGTCTATCTGTGTGTGTGTCTATCTGTGTCTATGTGTGTGTCTATCTGTGTGTGTGTCTATCTGTGTGTGTGTCTATCTGTGTGTGTCTATCTGTGTGTGTCTATCTGTGTGTGTGTCTATCTGTGTCTATGTGTGTGTCTATCTGTGTGTGTGTATATCTGTGTGTGTCTATCTGTGTCTAGGTGATTGGCTTCGTTGTCTTACTGAGTGGAGCGGTCATCTACAACGGACTTCTGTCTGTGTGTCTATCTGTCTGTGTGTCTATCTGTGTGTCTATCTGTGTGTGTCTATCTGTGTGTGTCTATCTGTGTGTCTATCTGTGTGTGTCTATCTGTGTGTCTCTCTGTGTGTGTCTATCTGTGTGTCTATCTGTGTGTCTATCTGTGTGTGTCTATCTGTGTGTGTCTATCTGTCTGTGTCTATCTGTGTGTCTATCTGTGTGTGTGTCTATCTGTGTGTGTCTATCTGTGTGTCTATCTGTGTGTGTCTATCTGTGTGTGTGTCTATCTGTGTGTGTGTCTATCTGTGTGTGTGTCTGTGTGTGTCTATCTGTGTGTGTCTATCTGTGTGTGTATCTGTGTGTGTCTATCTGTGTGTGTCTATCTGTCTGTGTCTATCTGTGTGTCTATCTGTGTGTGTGTCTATCTGTGTGTGTCTATCTGTGTGTGTGTCTGTGTCTAGGTGATTGGCTTCGTTGTCTTACTGAGTGGAGCGGTCATCTACAACGGACTTCTGTCTGTGTGTCTATCTGTGTGTGTGTCTATCTGTGTCTATCTGTGTGTGTCTATCTGTGTGTGTCTATCTGTGTGTGTGTCTATCTGTGTCTATCTGTGTGTGTCTATCTGTGTGTGTCTATCTGTGTGTGTCTATCTGTGTCTAGGTGATTGGCTTCGTTGTCTTACTGAGTGGAGCGGTCATCTACAACGGACTTCTGTCTGTGTGTCTATCTGTGTGTGTCTATCTGTGTGTCTATCTGTGTGTGTCTATCTGTGTGTGTGTCTATCTGTGTGTCTATCTGTGTGTGTCTATCTGTGTGTGTCTATCTGTGTGTGTCTATCTGTGTGTGTCTAGGTGATTGGCTTCGTTGTCTTACTGAGTGGAGCGGTCATCTACAACGGACTTTTGTCCCCCATTGTGGAGCGGTGCCGTAGACACGGACAGACTGTGGACGAGACAACCTCCCTCATCAGAGACGAGTCTTAGTGTCTATGTGTGTGTGTCTGTGTCTACCTGTGTGTCTGTGTGTGTGTGTCTGTGTCTATGTGTGTGTGTGTGTCTGTGTGTCTCTGTCTGTGTGTGTGTCTGTGTGTGTGTGTCTGTGTCTATCTGTGTGTCTATGTGTGTCTGTGTCTATATGTGTGTGTGTCTGTGTGTGTCTGTCTGTGTGTGTGTCTGTGTCTATCTGTGTGTCTATGTGTGTCTGTGTCTATGTGTGTGTGTGTGTGTGTCTGTGTGTGTCTGTCTGTCTGTGTGTGTCTCTCTGTGTGTGTGTCTGTGTCTATGTGTGTGTGTGTCTACGTGTGTGTGTGTCTGTGTGTGTGTCTGTGTGTGTGTGTGTATCTGTGTGTGTGTCTATCTGTGTGTGTGTCTATGTGTGTGTCTGTGTGTGTGTCTGTGTCTATCTGTGTGTCTATCTGTGTGTGTCTATCTGTGTGTGTCTATCTGTGTGTGTCTGTGTGTGTGTCTATCTGTGTGTGTGTCTATCTGTGTGTGTGTCTATCTGTGTGTGTCTGTGTCTCTGAGTGAGTCCATATTTCACAATCCGCGTCTAACCTCAGGGAACTGACAGTTGTCGATTTAAAATTCTTAATTTTCACTGGCTACTAGTGGTGAGTGCCTTGTGCACACATATGGAGTGTAGTGTATAGTGTAGTGTAGTGTGTAGTGTAGTATGTAGTGTAGTGTATAGTGTAGTGTATAGTGTAGTGTAGTGTGTAGTGTATAGTGTAGTGTATAGTGTAGTGTATAGTGTAGTGTATAGTGTAGTGTATAGTGTAGTGTATAGTGTAGTGTATAGTGTATAATGTAGTGTAGTGTATAATGTAGTGTATAATGTAGTGTATAGTGTAGTGTACACTATACACTACACTATACACTACACTATACACTACACTATACACTGTAGTGTACACTATACACTACACTATACACTACACTATACACTACACTATACACTACACCATACACTACACCATACACTACACTATACACTACACTATACTATACACTACACTACACACTACACTATACACTACACTACACACTACACTACACTCTACACTACACTACACACTACACTACACACTATACACTACACTATACACTACACTATACTACTATACACTACACTATACACTACACTACTATACACTACACTACTATACACTACACTACTATACACTACACTACTATACACTACACTACTATACACTATACACTGCACTATACACTACACTATACACTACACTATACACTACACTACACACTACACTACACACTACACTACACACTATACACTACACTATACACTATACACTACACACTATACACTACACACTATACACTACTCACTATACACTACTCACTATACACTACTCACTATACACTACTCACTATACACTACACACTATACACTACACACTATACACTACACACTATACACTACACTACTATACACTACACTATACACTACACTACTATACACTACACTACTATACACTACACTACACACAACACTACACACTACACTACACACTACACTGTACACTATACACTGTACACTATACACTACACACTATACACTACTATACACTATACATTACTATACACTATACACTACACTATACACTACACACTATACACTATGGTGGTGGTGATGGTGGTGGTGAGTGATGGTGATGGTGGTGAGTGATGGTGATGGTGGTGATGGTGGTGGTGGTGATGGTGGTGATGGTGGTGATGATGGTGGTGATGGTGGTGATGGTGGTGATGGTGGTGGTGGTGATGGTGGTGGTGGTGATGGTGGTGATGGTGATGGTGGTGATGGTGGTGGTGGTGATGGTGGTGGTGATGGTGGTGATGGTGGTGATGGTGATGATGGTGATGGTGATGATGATGGTGGTGATGGTGGTGATGGTGGTTTGTCTTTGAAATCTTTTCGGGGGTTGGGGGTGGAATTGTGTTGACGATGGCGATGATGATGATCACTCGAAGCTATTTTGATAAATAAAACGATTGAGCCACCATTGTATTGAGGCGTCACTGACGACAGATCTTCGCTCAAGGGGCTCGCGCCAGTAGTTCTCTTAAAGACTTCTCTTCACACGCAGCGACTCCGTTGTACTGCCCGCTCACTGCCTACACTCCACACACCGGGGGTAGGCTACTGGGGAGGTCCCTAGCACACCCACAGACTACTCTAGCCTGGTGATAATTACCTCCCTACCCTGGGTACCATCGATCCCCCTGGGGTAGAGGTACTGGGAGGTCCCTAGCACACCCACAGACTACTCTAGCCTGGTGCTCATTACCCCTACCCTGGGTCACATCGCTACCCCTGGTGAAGGCTACTGGGAGGTCCCTAGCACACCCACAGACTACTCTAGCCTGGTGATAATTACCTCCTTACCCTGGGTCACATCGCTACCCCTGGTGAAGGCTACTGGGAGGTCCCTCGCACACCCACAGACTACTCTAGCCTGGTGATAATTACCTCCTTACCCTGGGTACCATCGCTCCACCGGGGGTAGGCTACTGGGAGGTCCCTAGCACACCCACAGACTACTCTAGCCTGGTGATAATTACCTCCTTACCCTGGGTACCATCGCTCCACCGGGGGTAGAGGTACCGGGGAGGTCCCTAGCACACCCACAGACTACTCTAGCCTGGTGATAATCTCCCCCTACCCTGGGTCACATCGCTCCCCCAGGGGTAGAGGTACCGGGGAGGTCCCTAGCACACCCACAGACTACTCTAGCCTGGTGATAATCTCCCCCTACCCTGGGTCACATCGCTCCCCCAGGGGTAGAGGTACCGGGGAGGTCCCTAGCACACCCACAGACTACTCTAGCCTGGTGATAATTACCTCCCTACCCTGGGTACCATCGATCCCCCTGGGGTAGAGGTACTGGGAGGTCCCTAGCACACCCACAGACTACTCTAGCCTGGTGCTCATTACCCCTCTACCCTGGGTACCATCGATCCCCCTGGGGTAGAGGTACTGGGGAGGTCCCTAGCACACCCACAGACTACTCTAGCCTGGTGATAATTACCTCCTTACCCTGGGTACCATCGCTCCACCGGGGGTAGGCTACGGGGAGGTCCCTAGCACACCCACAGACTACTCTAGCCTGGTGATAATTACCTCCTTACCCTGGGTACCATCGCTCCACCGGGGGTAGGCTACTGGGAGGTCCCTAGCACACCCACAGACTACTCTAGCCTGGTGATAATTACCTCCTTACCCTGGGTACCATCGCTCCACCGGGGGTAGAGGTACCGGGGAGGTCCCTAGCACACCCACAGACTACCCTAGCCCACCATACGTGACGTCATCGTGCCGGAGGGCGAGCGTGACATGACGTCGCTAACCACCACTCTACACCTGTGTAAGAGACACCTGTCCACAGAAGCAATCAATCAATCAATCAGGTTCCAAACTCTCCACCATGGCCCAAGACCAAAGGGCTCTCCAAGGACGTCAGGGACAAGATTGTAGAGCTACACAAGGCTGGAATGGGCTACAAGACCATTGCCAAGCAGCTTGGTGAGAAGGTGACAACAGTTGGTGCGATTATTCGCAAATGGAAGAAACACAAAGGAACTGTCAATCTCCCTCGGCCTGGGGCTCCATGCAAGATCTCACCTCGTGGAGTTGCAATGATCATGAGAACGGTGAGGAATCAGCCCAGAACTACACGGGAGGATTTTGTCAAATGATCTCAAGGCAGCTGGGACCATAGTCACCGAGAAAACAATTGGTAACACTACGCCGTGAAGGACTGAAATCCTGCAGCGCCCGCAAGGTCCCCCTGCTCAAGAAAGCACATATATACATGCCTGTCTGAAGTTTGCCAATGAACATCTGAATGATTCAGTGGACAACTGGGTGAAAGTGTTGTAGTCAGATGAGACCAAAATGGAGCTCTTTGGCATCAACTCAACTCGCCGTGTTTGGAGGAGGAGGAATGCTGCCTATGACCCCAAGAACACCATCCCCACCGTCAAACACGGGGGTGGAAACATTATGCTTTGGGGGTGTTTTTCTGCTAAGGGGACAGGACAACTTCACCGCATCAGAGGGACGATGGACGGGGGCCATGTACCGTCAAATCTTGGGTGAGAACCTCCTTCCCTCACAGCCAGGGCATTGAAAATGGGTCGTGGATGGGTATTCCAGCATGACAATGACCCAAAACACACGGCCAAGGCAACAAAGGGAGTGGCTCAATAAGAAGCACATTAAGGTCCTGGAGTGGCCTAGCCAGTCTCCAGACCTTAATCCCGTAGAAAATCTGTGGAGGGAGCTGAAGGTTCGAGTTGCCAAACGTCAGCCTCGAAACCTTAATGACTTGGAGAAGATCTGCAAAGAGGAGTGGGACAAAATCCCTCCTGAGATGTGTGCAAACCTGGTGGCCAACTACAAGAAACGTCTGACCTCTGTGATTGCCAACAAGGGGTTTTGCCACCAAGTACTAAGTCATCTTTTGCAGAGGGGTCAAATACTAATTTCCCTCATTAAAATGCAAATCAATTTATAACATTTTTGCCATGCGTTTTTCTGGATTTTGTTGTTGTTATTCTGTCTCTCACTGTTCAAATAAACCTACCATTAAAATTATGGACTCATCATTTATTTGTCAGTGGGCAAACGTACAAAATCAGCAGGGGATCAAATACTTGTTTCCCTCACTGATTTGGAGAAGATCTGCACACAGACACACAGAGACACACAGAGACACACACAGAGACTCACACAGAGACTCACACAGAGACACACACAGAGACACACACAGAGACACACAGAGACACACAGAGACTCACACAGAGACACACACAGAGACTCACACAGAGACACACACAGAGACACACACAGAGACACACACAGAGACACACAGAGTCACAACAGACACACAGAGACAACACAGAGACACACAGAGACACATAGAGAGATTAACACAGAGATTCACACACAGCCTCACACAGAGACAACACAGAGACACACACTCACACAGAGACACACACAGAGACAAAGATAAAGATCCCCCATATAGCCTTAACAGACTGTAGGGGCAAGTGCTGTTAGCGAGCACCACCTATGAAGGCC